AAGCAGTGGTATCAACGCAGAGTTACTAGACAGACAGACATACAGACAGACAGACAGACAGACAAACCGACATTCAGCTTATATATAAGATAAAAATGTGCAGGTGACTTGTTTATTTTTGTAAATGATTAAAATAATTTTAAAAATTTTTAAAAATTCAAATTAGCCTTGTAAAAAAATTTTTTTCGGGGGCGTGGCTGACGCCACGCCCCCTTTTTCCCAGATTTTAGAGGTCTGGGACCCGCAAAAAGTTTTGAGAAGCACCCCCAAAAATTTTTTCGGAGTGCGTGGCTAACGCCACGCACCTTCTTTAGAAAAAAATTTTTTGTCGCGCCCCCCCCCCCCCCGAGCCGAAATCCTGGGTACGCCACTGGTAGCCTGTTATCTTGAATCTTCAAGATTCGCTCAAACTTTGTCCACAGGAGTCAATTGACATGCTCATTATGGATATGTTGCCCATTATGTTTGACAGGTCCTTCAGGTAATGCTATCTTAGGTATTTAATTCAGGGGGGGGGGGGGTTTATTAAGACAGCAATCAGGGGGGGGGGGGGAGTCCGTAAACCAGCGATTGTGTGCCACATCCCTTGCTTGACCCTGAATATCACATGGGTTTGAATTTCTCGCATGATCTTGGCGGCGTGTCATCATCCTCCCAAGGCTTGCCTCTTTTTCTAAATGCACGTAGGCGACCACCCATTGAATAGATTGCAGAGCTTACGCGTAACAGGTAACGGACCAGGGTAAAGCGGGGGGTGCGGCACGCCGCAAGGGGGGGTCGTAAGGGGGGGGGGGGGGGGTAGGTAGGGGGGGGGGGTCGTTTCGACCCAAGGTCAAAAGCTGTTTCTAAGGGGAAATGACTGCAGCTAAGTTCGTAGACGTGCCACGCTCTTTCCCGGGGGCGCCTCGTCCCTCGGCTGTGGAGCATTGGAGCTGCTTTCACTCATTTCTATAATGTTAAAGTAGAACTTTGAAATCATATAGAGTGGAGGCAAATCAGAATCGTCCAACCTGTGAGCTTCGATAACAAAGATGGAAATGTTGGCGTGTCCTTTTCTGTGCTGCCGTCTTTACACAATCGGTTTATACACAACTAATCTGATTATGATTGATTGCTGATTATTTCAATTAGAGATGCAAGAAAAGACTGATGAAGAGATTGTCTCGCTGTACAGCTATGTGACTAAATTGACTTGATGAAAGCGCTGTTGAAATCCTGCAAAATTCAAGTTCAACGACACAAACTCGCAGATACCGTATGCCTACCGTAACCTACCGTGCCTCTAATCAAGCATAATTGTCGTAATCCGCGTGTCGAATAACCCCTATGCGCCAAGTTTCAGCGAACTCTGAGGTCTCCGAACAGTAAACAACCTTGTATAAAGCAGTAATTTAAAACATGATTAACTTCATCTTAACGGTGAGTAAGCTACATCTTCTTGCACTCAATACAAAGCACTACTCCTTCTTTGTCCACCTCAGGAATCCCGCTTCAGAAGACCTCCAAACTATTGAATTAGAAGCCAACCAAAATCGCTTTCAGCTTTTGACCGCTGTGCTTTCACCAAATATTACTCAGAGCAAAGAAGACGAATCAGGCTCAAAACATCCCTATGGAATCTACGAGGTTTAGGCTATTGATTCATATAAACATTGTCCGCTAAAAATGTTTTTTTTTTGATATAGTTGATGGCCTGCGGCACCCCCCCTCAAAACCTGCGGCTGCCGCAGGTTTTGAGGGGGGATGCCGCAGGCCATTAACTTACCTTCAAAACGTTCAAACAGCTGCCTTTTTCATGTCAACCTGTAGATCCATCCTTCCTCTCTCCGTAGTAGCATTTGCCCCCCCCCCCAAGCGCGCCCTCTTAGTAGAGATACGGTGGGTTTTCTGAACCCTACTCAACGAAGCACCTAGTCCGACAACCGCCGAAAATATTGGTGTACGGTAGGAGTCAAAAAATTGCCATCACACCAACGGCGGGAGCCAGGACAGTTTGAAATGCCCATTTCAAAATCCACTCGTCTGCAGCACCTCACCTCCTGCTCATTTTGATTGTTCTTCTGTTTCTTTTGTTTCTTTTGTTCTTCTGTTCTTTTGCTCTAAGAAATCAATCTTCATTTCTGCTTATGACTTTTTTGGATGCTTTAGGTGAAAGACCCGTCAGCCCGAAGGACTGGCGAAGAGATGGAGGTATTGTGTACTTGGACAACACAAGTTCTCTCTCAACCGAACTCTGATGATGAGGACTTTGGTGAGTAAATCAAACTTGCTTTTTTAATTTTCTTTCTCCACGATAGCTGATGTGATTTTGCTTCCATGCATCTTGCTATTATTGAAGCGCAGCTTAGTTTCTGAAATGTTGTTGACAGCTGGCCTACGGTGATGCATTGGTGTATATCTTACGTCATTTGACATGCATAAACAATGTTATCGTAAATAACTTAATCATTTGCACTCCCACCTAAGGTATGCGGAAGTGGGAGCGGACGATCAATCTTACTTCCGATTGAGAAAAATATGACCGTAACTGCATGATTAGAATATGATTCGACTAACCGTCGTCTTCTGCTAAATCGGCATATTAGAAAACTGTCATTCAAAATGCATGGCAGATGAATGGCATGCCTAAATTCCTAGCTCACTCATAGCTCAATGGTTGCGTCTTTTCCCATAGAAAGGCTTGGGCTAGTTGGCGGTGATGTAAAAGCGATTTTCTGCGCAAAATTTGATGTGCCATGACATGTAATCAGTCGGTAATCCCGTTTGCAGTAAACGTTTTATCTCCTCTTCTTTTTTATTTAGAAATCGTAATCAACACACGAGCTTTTTTTGGTCACTGATTACTCTGCTAGCTGAAATTCACTAAGATTATGTAATCCGCCTCTAAGCACGTTCTCTGCTCATACCGTAGACGCGTCCGCCATATCTAGAAGAACCACTCTTGCTTATTTCTTCTCAGTGTATTGCGTAATTAGTCGACATGCTGCTTATCTTCCTATTCCGATTGGATTTTGCGTGACTTTTGACGTGCCGCATTTAGAAGACTCTTTTAGGCTACGCTAGTGCTGGTAAAGCCACAGTATTTTCAGGTAATTGATCGTTTGCGAAGGCACTTGTCCCTAGAAAAGAGTGCATCGCCGCAGAGACAGGTATGGAACAGCTAGGTTCATTATTTGAGGAAATTTACAACCAAAAACTCATTGGACACGGAATACTTCAGTTTGCTTGAAACGTCTCTCAGTTTGCTAATAAGTTGCTATGAGGTGTTATGGGTGCAAATCTATGCTAAAAGCGCTTCGCACGTCTACAGCAGCCCAAGTGTCTCTTTCGCTGTGATTCAGAAATCAATGCTTTCCAACCTCGGTATACTTAGGGAAACTAATTCATTTCTCGGTAGACTAAGACAGTGTCCGGAGTCGTCCGCACGCCGCTCCACAGCTGTGCTAGCGCCGTGCCAGAAATGCCGGCAAAGTGATCGATTAACACGCAGTCTACGCACTCCATGTCTACAAGGGTTCCAGCACGGCGGTGGAACGGCTCTGGCACGCGCGGGCATCCGGACAACGCGGCTTAGGATCAATATACAAAGCTTTCTGGTGTCCTCAAACATCTCAACATGAATTTGATTCCTAGCTTTCTGACTTATCTTTTCAATTGCGGTTCGTAGCTTTGTATGAAAGTGAGGAGAGAACTAAACTGTACTGGGTAGTTTACAAAAATATGTCCCAGCCTTTCATATTCACATTCAGACGGCCAACCAACTGTTAGGCGGTAGTGGAAATGCGAGACTCTCCGCCAATTCCAGCCATGAAAGACCCGTCGAAGACAGTAAGATTCAACTGAAATTTTATCGAAGGGAGGTTGCGAACTAGAATCGTTTCAGGTCCCAAGAAAAAGCGGTCAATTTTGTCCTTCAGTGGAAGACGCACCAGCGAACTACGTTTGGGATCTGACGGGAAATTGGTTACAAATGGGTAAGCCCAGTTTAGTGTACAAGTCAGGAAGATTTGTCTCAACATCATGCTAGGGAACTCTTGGAATTCAATTTGTGAATTATCTAAAATGCCCAGCCTTGCATATGCTCAGGAAATCTTGAGAAGTTGACTATACATTTTTGAACTTTTGTTCGATTTACAGACTTCCTGTAAAAAAAGAGAAATTTAGTCGGATGCGCCTACGTGCACGCTATCGACCTGGTCAAAAGAATGAGTATAACTCGGGTGATTTCGGTACTTTTCCTTCGAACTCATCCTTTGAGACAAGATCCTCGAAAACATTCTTAAATCTGAACAGCTTCTCACACTCCTCTGTTATCTTCCTTTGAACTAACCCTGCTTTTTCCAAGTAGGTGAAGAAGCATGAGCTCAAAGCAACTGCTCTTCTACTCAGTATCTTACATTTATGGTTTGATGAAACAATGTGTTACTTAAAATTTGTCTGGTTTGGAATGTATATCAAGGGTATTGTTTAGGTACGACGACCTATCCAACTACAAACGACCGAGTCCACCTATTGAAAAGATCAAATCCTTATTCCGCAAAAATGACACAACACATGTGACCTCTCAACCAAGCAACGACTACTATCCGGGGCGGTATGTGCTCAATGCTTGCTCAATAACAGATGTCACTCAGGGTATTTTTTGTGATTTTTCGACGACGGAATCAAGGTTGAAAAATGAAAGAGACTAAACTACACATACTACCCAGCTTTCTATGTTCCTTGCAGGCTTTTTACTTTGACCGATATCTAGTATCAGATTAATGCAAAAATATTGGCCATTGTTGTTGCTTATCATAGCTGCCGTTCCTAAAATTCTCCTCCTAATACCCAGTTTTAACTTTGCATAGCAGCGCTAGTCTTGTGCAACCGCAGCTTGCCTTCTACTTCTCTGAGTTCAAGGCAGATTTTCTGCCAATTCTTCTCTGTAAAAGCTTGCAGTGGCACGGCTACAACTGTTGTATTTTGTTTCAAGACCTACGGAACAGCGCGTTGACAGCGTGTTTTTTTTTCAGCTCTGGCCAAATCTCAAACGCAGTGGCTCGGCACAGAAGAATCTCAACCCTGAAGAGCTCCGACTAACATTTGCCTCCCCTGACGCGGTAAGACATTCCTCTTGCATTCTATGGCGTTCCATCTACTGCTTTCTTGCGAACTGAACTGAGCTGATTGTTCAGATTTACTAAGTTCACGGAATTTTATCGAAATTGATGTTTTTTGCTTATGATTCATCTTCATACTTAGTTGTGCTTTCTTATTGTATATCATTATATCCTCTTGGGTTGCTTTATGACATAAATAGTACAATAAATTTTTTCATCCAGGCCATTTACAACAATGCCGTGGTCAAGCAAGTTGATGTGCCGACACTTGCTGGTATGGTCGGCGTTCTCGCCAACCACGTCCCCACCATCGGTGTTTTGAAGCCTGGCGTAGTTACTGTTACTGACATGCAAGGTTGTTAAAGGCATCACTTTTTTCATCTGTGCAGTGCCATAATGACTTCTCTCGCTATATATTCAACGAACTAGTGCAGTTTATCTATGTTTGACTCTCAGATAAACCAATTGATCCTATTCAACAAAAAACATAACAAAAAAGCACTTTCTAGTGGATTTTGAGTTTTATTTGTGTTTTGATATGATTTCATCAGTTTCGGTGTTGTAAAGTATCGTAGTCCTAGTTGCGTACAGTATTTTCCTATGGAAGTGTTGATCGTTGCCCCTCATCAGCGAGTTTCGCTGGAGAAGCAGCAAATTGCGAATTTAGTCAGTTACTTTAAACCTGGTTGGTTATGGGGTGGAGGGTGGGGGGGGGGGGGGGTAGGGAAGGGGGGGGGGGGTCGTGCCGAGGTCCGGCCCAAGGGGGGGGTCGTATCCGGAGGTCGCGTGCCGCACCCCCCGCTTTACCCTGGTACGGACATGTAATGCCAATTACGGAGTTCCGTACTCGCTGTGTGACTGAGAAGAATTGAGCGTCTTTATCAATCGATGACGAACTTGCAGTGGTTAGAAACCCGAAGAATATGTTGCTGAATCGAACAGCAGGATATAAAAGTTAGAGGCTAGGAGAGCTTTATGCATTGAATACACATCTTTAGTCACAAAATTTCATTTAGTCATTCTCACATAGGTTAATCTTTGGGCCCAAATCACTCAGATAAGTAATCCGCGAATCTTCAATGTTTCTTTTGGCTTGTCTGCTTAGTAAAAGGTTTGAGTATTGGTTACAGGTAGAACTTGCCTAAATAAAACCTCTGGCAGTAGGTTTAGCAGATAGGGTTTGCTCCCAGGTGTCGTCTGGGAACTAAAAGGGAACTAAACTATGTGAAACTCCCAGGTGTCGTCTGGGAACTAAAAGGGAACTAAACTATGTGAAGATAGATTTCAGGTAAGGTATTTCGACATATAAAGCGCAAGTTCACCATGATTTTCAATAGTAGGAGTCTAGACGCTTAGTCTTCTCGAGGTAACATAAGAAGGCGTCAAACTGTGGAAGAGTTCCATAGTTTCCTCTACATAGGCTATTTTAAGATGACGAAGCAGTGAGCTTTCGATTATAACTGTCAATAGGTCTGAATTGTTTTGAGACTTACGATTCAGACAAATTATCTGACATCAATGAGACAAAGTAACTTGAGATATAGAATGACCCGGAGAGATCTCATATCGCTCTTCTTCTCTTCCGCAGCTTAGTGAGCCTTTAGTGCTTCCTTTAAGGAATAAGGGCCTGGCCAGATTTCGCTCAAAAACGCCCAAATTTCTCTGGTGTCTCTTCACTTTCTCGTGTAAGGAGAGATGAGAGAGAGTGAGGAGAGGTCAGAGAAGTTTGAGCGCTTTCGGGCGTTTTTGGGCGCTTTTGAGCGCTTTTAGGCGCTTTTGGGCGCTTTTGCGCGAAGCTGGCCAAGGCCTAAGTCTTGTGTTCACCTATGCCTTCATTTGCACTCCATTCATAGCCTCCTATACCTTGCTCAGTGTCAAGCGCGCGTTGTACTTGTCTGAATACGTTTAAACAGGTCAATTTGCGCCTTGGGTCACCTACGTGCAAAACTGGAAGGCGGCATCCCCTTCAGGTGTGAGGCTCGAGAGGATCCTGCACGCCCTCCCATGATCTTTAGGAGATGCAAATATAAATGAGTAGATTTGACATCACCAGTTTTGAATCTCTCACATGTTTGCTTAGCTTTTAGAGAATGTTTATCTTTCTGAAAATGCCTAAAGCTCAACTATCAGAAATGCATCCCCCTATTACTAACCGTAATGTTTTGGTAGCTTTGGTTCCGCGCCCCCTTATCATGTAGTCTCATCACATCGACTGTTCTAGATATTTCAAGAAGCTTTTGGCTCGCTGCTACCAGAACATGCGAACCAACATTTTCTCATACTCATGCATCCTTCGACCCTCCCTTTTCTTCGTTATGCTTTCAGCAGTTCCTGATTCTAAAGGCATGACCAAGCATTCTCCTATGATAGTGTCACTCGTCATATACACGATCATCTTTTACGTTCTTGTGCACCGACTGCTTCGGTTACGAAAATGGAGCTGCATACCGTACAATTACCGCTCATAATTTTTGCAGAAAAGACAGACAGTTACCTGAATTAGGTGAGAGCGCAGTATCGTGGTCATATCGCGTTTCAGAGGGACGAATTCTGAACCTAAGGGCTTCATTCGATTCAGCTCGACTTCGCACCTCCTGATATTAGGAGGTGCATTTTGGATACGGTAGGTGCACGGTGGGGAGCCACACCTTCACGAATGAATACATTTTCCGCTTATGTTATGCATTAGTTAAGCAGCCTGAATAGATATAAATCACCGTGAGCAAAAATCTATAAGGATTTTTTTAAAAAATTGACTGCCTATCGTGCGCTTACCGTAACCATATATTAGAAGATGCGCCTCGTGGAGCTGAATCAGATAGTTTCTTGAATTCAGAATTTGTTCATTGAAACGAGATATGGTTACGCTACGACAATATCGTCTAACTCTGTGACCGCTCTTCTTTTTTTTGTGCAGAAACTATGTGCGGTATCATAAGTTTTTTTTGAGAATTTTGCGAATTTTTTTCATTTTTCCGAGAGGATCTCGAGTTATCTCCAAGGGCAGCATGCATTAAAGGCAGCCTCCGGGCAAAAAGTTGATTTTGAGATTTTTGCTTACCCGGGCCTTTTGCCCGGACCTTCAACATCCCTTCCGGGAAGGGGATCGCAACTTAAAAGAAAGCTTCTTACACGCTGTCTATCTATCCGTGAGTATTCCTAGAGCCCTCCACCACAAAACATATTGAACACGAGCGAGAACTTGTACAAGCAGCATTTTCCAGTTTTTAGTATGATCCCCTGATAATCCCCGGCGAGCGACCATCTTTCCTTCAAAGTCATTTTTCTTTCTTCGAATTTGACCAAAACATTTCAAAGTTGCACTGATTATCTAATTCAAAAGTGCTAAGCATGCTTCTGGTAGAAACAAGTGAGTTTCTGAAATATCAGGATTTTCGGTAAACCCCAACTTTCGAAATGTGATTCATCGCGATTTTCATGACTCCGACACCTCATTTGTTTCCATCAGCAACATGCTCAGCACTGTTGGTTTAGACAATCGGTATAGCTTTGGAATGTTTTCATTGACTTTGATGAAAGAAAAATGACTTTGAAGAACAGATGGTTGTCCGTCGAGGATCATCAGGGATCATACAAAATGCTGGAAAATGCTGCCTGTACAACTTCTCGCTTGTGTTCAATATGTTCTTATTGAAGAGTAATAGGAAAACTTGCGGAGAGATATACAATTTGTATTCGCAGAAAATTCAAAGTGCTATGCTTCCCCTGTGTCGCGATTAGTCGGGACAAATTGCAAATCCATGAGCACCACTCCATTTATATAGAATAGTTTCTCAGATTAGAGAGAGCAGAGCATTGCGAACTCGATAAATCAGCGCCAATCCGTTATCCGGCCCAAAATTTCGAAGTTGTGAATTTTGCGCAAACTCGGTCTGGGAGAGTTCTTCAAGCCGCTGATGCCGATATTGTATCAATTTCGCGCGGTAGCACCTTCTTCTGGGGGTTACGGCCTGTATAAAGTAGGGGATCAACATGTATTCCTTGACCTAAAGGGCATATTCGATACGCTGATTAAGAAAATTATCCTCTTTCTGCGTACGGGGCCTTTTTATGGAGTTTTGTGGTAGGTATATGTTAGAGGGGCAAAATCTTAGATTTGGCTGGAATCCGGTTAAAGGTTGCGCAATTACCGATCACGAATACCATACTCTCTTTGCATTTCGGGACTTCTCGCGGAGTTACGATAGGTATATGGTAGAAGGTCAAAATCATACCTGCTTGAAATTTGTGTAGGTTTTCTGAAGCGCTGATCACGAATATTGTGCCCATTTCATGATGAAGGCTTTTTGTAAATTTCTGGTATCTAAGTCGGCCCGAAAAGTGATGGTTTGTCTATTCACACCCTGTGAATTACAGCGACTTCGTATGGCAGCGAGCAAGCATGATATTAGTGATCAACATGCTTGAAAACTCCTCTAGGCAATGTTTTGAACTTTGGAACGTCTACCCATCTACCGCGCACTCACCGTAACCGATAGACATGTACTTTGCAAATTAATAGGATATTCACGTTCAGCGCGCCAAATAACCTCCCTAGTTGAAGGTTGAGCAGATCCATGGTTTTGACCATATACCGTCTACTACCGTAACTCCATGAAAAGGTCGCACATGCGAGAGAATGTGATATCTGTCATCGACATGTCAGAAAAGCCTCCTAGGCCAAATTTAAGCCAAATCGTCATTTTGACCCCTACCGTATACAGTGTGCAGACTCGTGATAATTACAGGGTGCGGAAAAAGTACTGCCCTTCAAAATAAAATTTAAAAAAACCAACGTGATTCCCAGTTTTCTAGTAAGATTCGACGCAAACCTCAGAATGTGATATATTCTAGCATTTTACGAAGATTGGCCACAAAATTCTGCAAATTCAATTCAAACTCAAGTCATTGATCTGTAACAAATATAGGATTTCAAAGAAGAGATTATGCCTTGCAGACTGCGTTAATTTAAAAATTTTTCCTCTCTTGGTGGTATAGTTACGGTCCAAATCGCGCTCAAACGCTGCGGCGCATCCGTCGATGATGTTCGCTGTTATACCTCGTTTAAATGGATAGGAGACCGTTCCAAATTGAGCTTATTTTAGTCTGATCTCTGAGGTCTCGCCTATATGTAGAAATCGAAAAACTATAAATTTCCTCTATTTGTGAGATGTTCTGGAAGGCAAACTGAGGGACAGTACTTTCTCCACACTCTATGCAAATGACTCGAGGATAATTGTTCTATGGCGGAAATTTCTGTGATTGGTCTATGTATAATATTTAAACTGAAGAGTGCTCATGTGAAGTTTTATGTGTATGTTGCTTAGCCTATCATTCACAGTAGTTTTTGTCATTTCAGCGCAGTGTCATGGACTCTATTCAGCGCAGTGTCATGGACTCTATAAACATGGGTGATTTCGTGGCTAAAGTAATGGAGAGCTTAAAAGACGACGAGGGTCTGATGCGTTCTTTTGGGAATACTCGGTAACCATACTGCTATCGAGGGCCGGGCATATAAAATCAAACGATATCATCGTCGCGATTTGCTGGGCGTTTAATGTTCCTGTGGGCGCAAAGACCGCAGTCAAATCCACCGTCACGGTTTTAAAGACTACACGATACATGTCTTCAAATTACATTGAGCCCAATTTTTTTTCTATTTGCACATTGTTCACTTTAAGTTTCAGTTTATTTCCATTTGTATCTTCAGTTGGTATACGGTATTCCAGAATTTCAACCGCAGAAAGAAATCTCGGCGCTATCCAGTATTCTGGCCTCAGTTTAGAAGTCGTGAATCTCGCTTGAACTCGCCTCTGGGAGTTCGCCTTGCTGATCACGTATATCATTATATTTTTTGCATGATGAGGCTCTTGAATGGAGTTACGGCAGGTATACGGTATGAGATGGAAACCATGATTTGCTCTAAGCTTCGCCTAGGGGTCATTTGGCGTGTTAACGTGAATCAGGGCTCAGCACAGCTGCCACCGGGTCAAGCTGGATATCGTTTTTAGGGCGGAAAGCAGAGAGGATATCGTTTCTACAGGGTCCGAGGCGGAGAAGTGCCGCAAAAATGCCGCCGGCATGCCACCGGCATGCCATTGGCAAGCTGTCCATCAACTAACACAAAACGCAATAGTATGACACTAAGGGCCGCATGCACTAACATTTCCGCTGGGGAGGGGATCGCAGCTTCAGAAGAAAGCTTCATATCCTGAAGCTCCGGATATCTGGATTTCATGCTGTCTACCTGTCCGTAAGTACTCCCACCATCCTTCACTATGAACATATTGAGCAGAAGCGAGAAGCTGTACAAGCCGCATTTCCCAGCTTTTTGTAGGATCCTCTGATGATCCCTCGGGGACGAACATCTATTCTTCAAAGTCATTTTTCTTTCTCCGAAGTAAACGAAAACCTTCCAAAGTTATACTGAACATCTAACACAACAGTGCTAAGCATGTTGCTGATGAGAACAAATGAATTTTTGAAAAATCGAATTTTTCGGTACCCCAAATTTCGACCTGTGGATCATCGAAAATTTCATGACTTCAAAACAATATTTGTTCTTATCAGCAACATGCTTAGCACTGTTGGGTTAGATGATCTGCACAACTCTGAAAGTTTTTCGTTAACGTCGGAGAAAGAAAAATGACTTTAAAGAAAAGCGCCGGGGATCATCAGGGATCATACAAAAGCTGGAAAATGCGGTTTGTACAGCTTGTCGCTCCTCTTCAATATGTTCACAGTGAAGGGTAGTAGGAATACTTACGGATAGGTACACAAAGTGAAATCCAGGTATCTGGAGTTTCGAAATATAAAGTTTTCTTTTAAGCTACGTTCCCCTCCCCGCGGCCATGTTAGTGCATGCGGTCCTAAATTTGGTGTGTGCATGCACGTTGGTGGACCCGAACTATGGCCCAAAAATTTATGAAAACTTATGTGAATGAAAGCTGTGCTGAACTTTTTTCTGAATTAGCTGGCACCGTGCCAGCTGGGTGCCAGCTGAGCTGGCACCGACACTTTGCTCACACTTCGTACTTTTTTACATAAATGTATCTACAGTGTAAAAGATTACATACGGAGAAGAAACAGTTTCATAATGTTCTCTTTTCAGCGTTTTAGAACAATTTGAAAACTACTCGGTCTGCTCCGCAGTCGAAAAATCGGCTTTTTCTGCTTCTCAAAATGTGATTCGACCATTTAAAAAGCTCAGAAAGCTGCGAGAAGTTGTTGTTCCATGAAATCAGAAATGCATGAAAACACTACTACATACTTTTACATAATATAAAAATAATGACGGGTTTTCAAAACAGGTCAAAGGGGACTTCGTACGAAATTTTCAATATCAAAAGGGACTTCGTTTTGAAATTTCCCTGGTGCCAGCTCGTGCCGAACCCTGACGTGAATGTTATGCTGACTTTGCAAGAGAGCGATATTTTGTCAAATAGATGGGTGAGAGTCAAGCTTGCTCAGTACTTTGCTTAGAGGAGGTTTTCAAGCATGATGATTACAAATATCATGCTTGCTCTTTACAATAACGCTTTATTGTGAAGTTCGGTAATTGGCAGCTTATGAAAAACATTTTTTCGCTTTTCGGGTTAATGAGCTTTGCCATTTTGTCAATTTAGATGCGGAAAATTCACGAAGAACAATATTTTCGTGATCACCACGTCAGATAATCCCCCCGCAAAGTTCCACGAAGATCCATGATTTTAACCTTTACCGTATTCTTACAAGGGAATGGTCAGCGAAGCGGCCGATCCAAACAGGCTGCACACCATTCACCATAAACGCTGACTCTAAACCTGGTCCCCTTATCTGCAGAGCGCCTTTGTAGGCGAAGTTATGAGCAGCTTTACTGCAAAAAAATCGCACACAAAAATTGCGAAATTAGGCACATCATTGCCCTTTTAGCTCATTCCTCTAGATACGGGTCCTATGAAGTGGCCTAGTTACATTTTTGGTCCAGCACTGAGTCGCGGATGGCTATCTACGGCCAAGTTTGCCCTTTGCATGCACGATTTCTTAGCAAATAATGGTCTTTAACGGCTTATAATTTCATCCATAAGAATGTTCTGCAAATAAGGAAAGCAGATTTAGAGTCACCGTTTTATGCTGCATCTGATGGTATGCAGCTTATTGAATTGGCCACTTCGATTTCTCACCATTCTCTTGTTAGTAACTCCGTGGAAATGGTTCAGAAATGCAACAATTATGACACTAGTTCAGCATGTCGAGTGTACCCCCTGAGCCAAGTTTTAGAGAGATCTGTGATTTTGATGGTTGATTATAGTCGACCTTTTTTCTATGTACATACAACATGAAATGGACGAACTCAATGAATATATACGAAACCATCGAATCACGAGAAAACAACGCAAGTTGGCAAAATTGGGTTAATTTTTGAAATCCTAAACAAGAAGGTATTTTTAAATTTAGGAAGCGATCATAGCTTTCAAAAAAGAAATGCAATCTCAGTGACATAGTCGCATCGCTCGCTTGAAGTTAGCGCCATATCAGATTTAATCAAATCGCGGTGGCTTCGATGAGGGAGGTATGCGCTAGGAAAAATCGGTCAACGATTAGTCGCGTTGGGAAACTATCACAACCTAGATGCAAGATGATCGGCATGTGATGATGTTGTAACAGTTGTCTTGTCGGGAGAACTGCGAGGCGATGTTTTTCGCTTTACATATGCCCGGCCCCTTAAATTACGTTGTTTAGCACTCGATCACTTGAATTGAAGACGATCATACTTCACAAATCTGGCTCAGATCCGCATGCCAAACAGCTAACTAATCGCTTAGATGCTCTTTTCGGTTACAAGCGTTTGCGACTGTTTCTATTCTTGCTTGAGTCCTGGCCATACCGGCAGCGACCTTGTCGTCGCAATTTCATCGCCGAGATTTTCATGTTCAGAGCTAACGAATAAATCGCTAATTGCTTGCTCTGGACATAAAGGCTGCTGCGTGACGAAGGCGCAGAAGCGGCATCAGTTGAGCGGGCGCGAACGCGGCGCGCGCGTATGCCCACCGTTGTGATTCCTGCGCCTCATGCGCTCTGCGGCTAATAAAGCCGCGATCGCGCCCAGAGGTATTGCGCTTTCGTCATGCAGCAGCCTCTACCTATTCAGCGATAGGTAAAGTCACGCACAGCAGCGCAAATTCGAAGTCTTTTGATGTGGCGGAGCAATAAATTCAGCTGGTTTCTTTTTCTTTTGCTTTGTCTTTTTCGACTCCACCTATACCTATAGTAACAAATGGCTGCGAAAAGCGCACCCCAAGACCCAGCACAAATTCTACTGGCGCGCAAGACATTTGGCGTGGGCGCGAGATTGTGCACTCACTATTGGTTCTTGTGCACATCTATGCGTTTATAACGAAGCAATAATGATCAACGCAGCAATACCTAGAATATTCATAAAATTTCGATGCAGATTGGAGTTGTTTTCAAGTGTTGAGATAAAACAAGTATGCTTACCGGACTGCTTTGAGTCAGTTTTTCTACAAAAAGATTACATTAATTGTCTTTCTATCGCTAGCTTGCTTACATGTCAAACTCTCGTACATCTTTGAAAATCTTTTCCTCCTTCAGGACTGCACGTTCAGCTATCCTCGGACCTTGGCATGGCTTATTGATACAGTTCTCTATACAATAAACTGTGTTACCATTTTGGTGCACCGCTTCAATCCGATTTCCATCAAGCGCGTAACAGTTGTCGTGGCACAAATCGCGTCGCGATGAAATTGCTGTAGGTATGGCCAGGGCTTTAGACGCATTTTCAAGCACGAGTACCGACGCGTGATTGATTGTCCATGATGGTCCACTTTTAGGTTTATCAAGCTCGAACCTTTCCATGGCCCTGATTTCAGATACGGAGTTCATACAGCGTAAATACCTAATGTCACCGGCATAGAAGGCAGCGATTTTATTCTAACAATAAGATCGAACAGCTCAGAACGCTGAAGGACTTCGCGACCAAAAAACTATAAACAGTGCTGCATATTGCCTGAAAGTATCTTGCGGCATAAATCTCGTTTTCCGAAATAGAGAGAGGCGGCTGAGCGGCTCGCTTGGAAATCGAAGACTGTGCGTTTTATAAGCTTGACATCGGCGTAATTTGAAAAGCTTACTTTTTAACAGCTTTTTTCTTCAAATCGCGGACGAGAACTACAGCGCCTGTTTTGAGTGAACAACGTGAATTGTAGTCGCATACAGCAGCAATACAGTGGTATAGCTGAGTCTCCACCGTATCTGCCAAGTCAAGACATGTCAAGCAGGGCGCTACCGAAAAAGGTATGGACGAACAGGGCCCGGCAGGTGATGGTTGGAGCATTTCTGGAAACGAAGCCCCCCATACTTCGGAATTACGAAGTCCCTCTTGACGTAAAAATCAGTAGAAACACCCTATTCAATCAAAATAACAATAGAAAAAGCGAAAAAAGGGCATTTTGAGGTACTTAATATAACAAAAATCAAAAAGAAAACCTTTGGAGTTGATTTAAAGCTCTATTATTGGTTAGGGTACCATTTTCGTGCTCAGAATGTCGAAAACCTCCCAGGCAAAACAAATCTGTGGCCCCAACAATCTGGAGATGCATTTTTCGCCACATAGTTCAAAGGACACCGCATGTGATCGGAGCGCAATATCTATCAACGCATAGATCTACGCTACTCTTGGCTCAAAAAGGAGGAGAAGCAGCGGTTTGATTCGCTCCCTTCGCTATATGGTAAACTAGCTGGCTTACCCGGCTCCGCCGTATCCGGACCAAACTTGGCACACATACACTTCGGGCCCCGGCGGGTGTCATAGGCTACTTTTCGTTATCGATCGATGTCGATTTTACCGATTTTTATCGATTTTTTTGCAGAGTTCACCTACAGGGCTAGGAGTTGGCACAGGGGGGAAGTGAGCATGGGGATTCCGAATACAATATTAGTTTTCAGAATTATCGATTACTTTTGTTGATTTTATCGATTTTTTGTAAATTTTGACATGCGAGGCTGGGATTTAGCACAGGGGGTAATCGAGCATGCTGATTACGAACACAGTATTAGTTTTCAGGATCGTCCATTACTTTTATCGATTTTATCGATTTTTTTGTAAAGTTTGACCTGCGGGGCTGGGAGTTTGCACAGGGGGGTAATTGAGCATGCAGATTACGAATACAATATTAGTTTTCAAGATCGTCCATTACTTTTATCGATTTTATCGATTTTTTGAAAATTTGAGCTAGGGGGCTGGAATCCCCTAGCTCAAACTTTGCAAAAAATCGATAAAATCAATAAAAGTAATCGATAATCCTGAAAACCAATATTGTATTCGGAATCCCCATGCTCGATTACCCCCCTGTGCCAACTCCCAGCTCCGTAGCTCAAACTTTGCAAAAAAATCGATAAAATCGATAAAAGTAATCGATAATTCTGAAAACTAATATTGTATTCGGAATCCCCATGCTCACTTACCCCCCTTTGCCAACTCCCAGCCCCGTAGGTGAACTCCGCAAAAAATCGATAAAAATCGATAAAATCGATATCGATCGATGACGAAAAGTAGCCTATGACACGCGCCGGGGCCCGAAGTGTATGTGTGCCAAGTTTGGTCCGGATCGGTTCAGAAATGGAATTTTCTATTCGGAACATACGTACACACAGACAGACATACAGACAGACATACATACATACATACACACAAACAGACATTCAGCTTTATATATAAGATTTTGGAGCGTCCTCTTTGTCCAAATCAAAAAGTCAAAACTTATGTGAACTCCCCGATATTTATGCTCCGAACCAACCCAGTTGGTTTGGTGTTGGTCTAAAAACCAACAGATTCGGGAACGGATGCTAGGACACATAAGTTTTTGAAACTTTTTACACAGCATAGTTTGGAATAATATTATATACTAGTTGACTTACCCGGCTCCGCCCGGCCCTGTCATTATTATATTCGTAATCAGCATGCTCGATTACCCCCCCCCCCCTGTGCCAACTCCCAGCCCCGTAGCTCAAATTTTGCAAAAAATCGATAAAATCGATATCGATCGATGACGAGAAGTAGCCTATGACACCCGCCGGGGCTCGAAGTGTATGTGTGCCATGTTTGGTCCGGATCGGTTCAGAAATGGAATTTTCTATTCGGAACATACGTACACACATACAGACATACAGACAGACATACAGACAAACAGACATTCGGCTTTATACAGACATACAGACAGACATTCGGCTTTATATATAAGATACATAGCCATTCGGAGCCATGTGATTGTTTCTGGGCTGTAAACAAGCCATTTGTTTATTAAGTCTTGCATTTGAAATTCGCGCGCTTGCGAAAGAACGCGTTCAACTCGTAAAGCATGTTCGTCGTTTTTTTACCTGCGCTCCCCCAGGTCCTTATAAGAACGACATCCCCGTTGCTTCTAACTTCAAAAACGAAGTCCAGTTTGACCCCAGACCATCTGCGCCGAGCCTTGTGGACGAACGAACGCTGCGATGGTCCGGCTACGCCCTGCAATGCATCCGGCGACGCCTCCATTGGTGGGCGTAACTTCGCCCCCACTTCGAGAGACGTGACTTCACGTCTACCTACCATTTAATTCAACTGGCTTGGCTTCGGGAAGGCGGGGCTTCTTAGCCTAATTAAGGTTAGGTAATGATCAGAGAGCAGTCGCGCGAGAGGCGCAGATGCGTCGCGGGCGCGAGCGGCCTTAATTAGGCCACAAAGCCTCGCCCTCCCAAAGCCAAGCCAGTTGAATCAAAGGTTAGCTACTCTTCCTTGACTGTTGCGAAGGAGCCGGCGCTGGAGTACTCGTCCGCGCTTAGAAAACAGCTATAAAGAGACTTTCTGGACTTACCACGCTTTTTTAATCCATAGCCGGGGCAGGAAAAGGTTCAGAAATTACAAAATGGATGACCATCAACCTGGATAATGCCTTCAAAGTCAGTGGCTCGTGAGAACTGCGACTGTGTGCCTTCTCTATGGCCTTCTGAATGCGTAGACTCCAGCATCGTACTTAGAGGCAGTGTCTCGGCAAAATTTCGTTCTCCAGATTTTCACTTTCTCGAAGCCTTCTCGCCATGAGGAATCCATATCTGGGCTTTTCGGCCCATGAAAATGGCGAAAATGAGCTTTCCGCGAAGCTTTCCAGGTCCGCAGTGAAGATGCGCCGGAAGTCTTCCTGTCCCGCCTCTCTCGTTCCGGGCCCCTCTCACTTGCACGTACTCTCCACTGAGTGCGGATCTGGAAAGCTTCGGAAAAAGCTCATTTTCGCCATTTTCCTGCGCCAAAAGCCAGTTGCGGGTCTTTTATGGCGAGAAGGCTCCGAAAAGGTGAAAATCTGGAAAATGAATTTCTGCCGAACCTGAATGGGAGACGGTCTTTTCGCACGAGAGGTCTCCAACGCTGCCCTGGTTTTGACCTGTCTTAACATGTCACGCATGCCGCAAATCTTTCCTCCCCTTGCTTTTCTTGGGCAAAACCCGCCGCAGGGTGTTTCGGCGGCGATGGTCCTGCGCGGAAAGCGTGTGAAGCGCCCTACAAGCCCTTTAAATATCTCTCAAAGTTGTCGAAAAAGTGCTTTTTTGTGTTTTTGGCTTTGAAGGTTGCTGAAGCGGCTAGACAAAAGATTACCGCCGATCGAGGAGCAATTGTCTACCAAGCCAATCAGCAGTCGCCGACAAAATGGATGGAGTGGCTCCACTCTCACATCACCTTGCAATCACTCCTGTTTTGGCGGGAATCTCTCGTCCAGCCCTCCACCAATGTCCAAGGCCAGAAAACGCCACCAAAAGCACCTCGCGTCCAGAAGGCCAAGGAGGAATGGGAAGCTCGCAGTCACATGAATCCTAGTGTACCGCCTTCAAAGGGAAGATTGGTTTGAAGTTTCTCAAAGTGGAAGGCGTTGCGAAGTTGGGTTTGTGAGTATGAACACCTTCATACTTCAAGATGATAATCAAAATGCTCTTCATTTTCATCATGTATTCATGTGAAGTGTATTCGCTCACTTGGTTCAGTGATACTGGTAGACCAAGAAGTGAAATGTGCGACGCGCAATCATGTCACGTGTTCAAGTCGACAGACACAGTCAGGGTTCAGGTGGGCTTTTATGATTTATGAATAGCACTCTTGTGAAACCAAAAGCTAGTCCCACGCGGGTAGAGGACTACATGTCGCTTAAAGAAGGTGGTCCATGCGGACATCTGCAACAGACCATCGTAATGCAGACACTACAGATTTGAAGCAGCTGTCCGCGCGGAATGGAGCCTCATAGCAACACGTAGTATCGTACCAGTCCCGCACGAACGGATGATATACTGTTGCGAAGCGGGCGCCGTTCCTATGGTCGACCAACTATCATCGCTGGAGACAGGGTCGATACCGCTGCCAGATGCTTTCGCGTACCTATCCTTATCTGGGAATCCGCGTTCGAGACTGGTTGTTATTTGCTATCATCATTTTTCTTCTTTCAGCTCTTTGGTGTAAGTAAATTCAAAACTAGTGAGAGTAAGGCGCCTGTAACCTTCGCAAGTGGTGCTACAGTGATTTTAGACAACGATCATGCGTTTGTAGAGAAAGACACGCTTGTTCCAGAGGAGGATATCTCTGGGTATGCTATCGCGAGTTTTTACTTTTGTATCATTCAAATAAAGAATTCAGATTTGAACTGCATCTCGATAGACGTGTGTATGCTCGTCCTGAACAGAAGATTTTTATCTGTCAAACTGGAATCACGGGGATGGGTATCGTTACTCGAGTACTTCCATCTCGTGGGGAACAAATTTCTTTGGTCGGTAATTGTTGTTGGTCTGATCCTGACAATTTTTCTTTACAGGAAGAGTTGATGCATTATCGTGAGACCCTCCACGGTGGACTGGCCAAAGCACTCGCAGTTCCTTTAATCTTGCCTGGGATGGACGCAGAACCAGGTAGTTCTAGCTCAGACGACGGCGAGAGCGAACACATGTGAGGATGTCAGCTTACCATAACAAGCGATGTTATTTATCAGAATATCTCTTGGAGTTTGATGAGTAATTGTCGATTTAGCTGTCACATCCACGTTTAGCTTGATTGTTCCAAGTAAGGTTTGCGATCATAGTTGCCCGTAGATCAGAATTGGATCCGTTCATCCGGTCTGCTAATACTCGGGTAGAGAATCGGGTAGAATATTGGTTTAAATAACTGTGCAAGTCTGACAATATTTTATTTTTTACATCAACGATTTCGTGAGTTTCATCTCTTTATGACTAAAAATTTTGGTTGTACGCCGGTTCAGCTTATCGGGTAACATGTTTTACGGGCAATTATGACCGCAGTGTAACTGTATTTGGACATATACTTTTATGCTTGATATTTACGTGGAAAAGCGCCATTTGTCTTGAAGTCTGCTATTATGTTTGGAGTAAAGAAGTAGCTGCAATAGCATTGACTGTTTTGAAGCTTGAAGAATCTTGCACGAAACTAACACTGAGGTGGTGTTAAACATAAGTGCCAATAATTAAGAATAGAAGAAGATAACAACCCCAAAGAAACTCACAAGGGAGAAAGATCTATAGTCAAACTGGCTTTTACATATAAAACGTATACCATCTTATAGAGCATGAAACGCTGATTCCAAATCTGCTTTCTTTATCTGCAAAGCACTTTTGAGAGAGGAGTCCTGGGAGTTTTTTGAGGTGAAATTTCAGTGACTAGCTGGCTTGCCCGGCTCCGCCGGGCCTGCCAGCTAGACCCGTGTACGTATGTTCCAAATAGAAAATTCCATTTCTGAACCGATCCGGACCAAACTTTGCACACATACACTTCGGGCCCCGGCGGGTGTCACAGTCCACTTTTCGTTATCGATCGATGTCGATTATACCGATTTTTATCGATCTTTTTTGCAGAGTTCACCTACAGGGCTAGGAGTTGGCACAGGGGGGAAGTGAGCATGGGGATTCCGAACACAATATTAGTTTTCAGAATTATCGATTACTTTTATTGATTTTATCGATTTTTTTGTAAATTTTGACCTGCGGGGCTGGGAGTTTGCACAGGGGGGTAATCGAGCATGCTGATTACGAACACAATATTAGTTTTCAGGATCGTCCATTACTTTTATCGATTTTATCGATTTTTTTTGTAAAGTTTGACCTGCGGGGCTGGGAGTTTGCACAGGGGAGTAATCGAGCATGCAGATTACGAATACAATATTAGTTTTCAAGATCGTCCATTACTTTTATCGATTTTATCGATTTTTTGAAAATTTGAGCTAGGGGGCTGGAATTTGGCACAGGGGTGTAATCGAGCATGCTGATCACCCCCCTTGGGGATGATCAGCATGCTCGATTACCCCCCTGCGCCAACTCCCAGCCCCCTAGCTCAAACTTTGCAAAAAAATCGATAAAATCGATAAAAGTAACCGATAATCCCGAAAACCAATATTGTATTCGGAATCCCCATGCTCGACTACCCCCCTGTGCGAACTCTCAGCCCCGTAGCTCAAACTTTGCAAAAAAATCGATAAAATCGATAAAAGTAATCGATAATCCTGAAAACCAATATTGTATTCGGAATCCCCATGCTCGATTACCCCCCTGTGCCAACTCCCACCCCCGTAGCTCAAACTTTGCAAAAAAATCGATAAAATCGATAAAAGTAATCGATAATCCTGAAAACCAATATTGTATTCGGAATCCCCATGCTCGATTACCCCCCTGTGCCAACTCCCAGCCCCGTAGGTGAACTCAGCAAAAAAATCGATAAAAATCGATAAAATCGATATCGATCGATGACGAAAAGTAGCCTATGACACTCGCCGGGGCCCAAAGTGTATGTGTGCCAAGTTTGGTCCCGATCGGTTCAGAAATGGAATTTTCTATTCGGAACATACGTACATACAGACATACAGACAGACATACAGACAGACATACAGACATACAAACAGACATTCAGCTTTATATATAAGATTTGGCTAAGGTAAAAACAAGTGTTGAGATCTTCCCGGAACTTGAAAGGACTAATGACTGACATGAATATATTAGATTGTAGATATTCATTGCACAAAACGCCCTGGTGGCAATCATGGCCCTGTTTGAGCTCAAGTACAAAGTTCTGACAGATTGTAGCATTCTTCAAATTATTTGCACTAAAAAATTTCCATAACTCCCCTCCCAAAAGCGCTTTGCAGATACCGAAAGCAGATTTGTCAGCTTTCCTTGCTCTAGAGATATAGTATATATTGCATGGAAACGTCACCTCAACCAATTATTCTTCCCTTGTGAGATGTCCGCCACTGTCATTCAATCAGTGCAACTACATAAAGCGACTTGTCAAATGAGGACAACTTATTGGAACTCTGTGTTGTTTCCATCACCAAAAGTGTAAAAAAATATGTTAATTTCAGTGGTGGTTCGAAAGGGAAGCTTTAGAAATTTTTTCCAAATGAGAAGCCCGGGAACCTTCCTAGGATTTCAAAAACAAGGGCCACGCACCGAGAAAAAATTTTTCTTACACCGCTATCCGAACTTCAGAGAAATTTGGAGAAATATTTCAATCGTTTATAAATGAAAACAAGTTCGCAATTTTGTATTCTATGGGCTGCTTTGAAAAGTTTCGCGACCTATACTCCCTCGACTCGGTTCGCCCTCAAAGTTGCGAATCTCATTTCGAAAATGTTGCCTAAGCGTCTTCAGCTAGAGGAATACTTTTGCTTTATCTACGGTCTTATCGCATTGACATGGAGAGCTTTCAGGCGTATTTTTCATTTCGAAGATGTTAGCTAAACATCTTCAGTTCGCAGAAATTCTCTCTGCTGATATTTGCGATGTTATGGAATCTTCGCTTGAGCGCTCTGTCATCACATCGGCATGCAAAAAACATTTCAAATGTTCTGTTGAGTTTCATGCTTGCTCCTACCGTATATGAGCGAATGCAGCACAAACTGAAAATTCCTCAAGCCTTCCTCTCTCTTAAATTAGTTCGGATTCAAAATTTGAGCGAACTTGATTTTTTATACTCCAGTAATTTTTCAGAGCTTTCGAATTTTTCAAAACCGAGGGGTTTTTCTATGAAACTATCGTTCAGTCCGGCATGTTAGCGACCACTTTGTCAGGCTAAAATCTTGGTCCCAACTTCCAGTCAGCAAACCGCCTGCATATGATGCATATTTTCTTCCGACTCGGAGGCAGGGCTCGGCACGAGCTGGCACCAGGGAAATTTTAAAACGAAGTCCCGTTTGATATTTGAAATTTCGTACGAAGTCCCTTTTGACCTGTTTTGAAAACCCGTCATTCATGCATTTCTGATTTCATGAAAAAACTTTTCACAGCTTTCTGAGCCTTTTAAGTGGTCGAATCACATCTTGAGAAGCAGAAAAAGCCGATTTTTCGACTGCGGTGCGGACCGAGTGGTTTTCAAATTGCTATAAAACGCTGAAAAGAGAACATTATGAAACTGTTTCTTCTCCGTATGTAATCTTTTACAGTGTCATTTTATGTAAAAAAGTATGAAAACTTATGTGAGCAAAGTGTCGGTGCCAGCTAATTCAGAAAAAAGTTCGGCACAGCTTTCATTCACATAAGTTTTCATAAATTTTTGGCCCATAGTTCCGGTCCACCAACGCGCATGCACACACCAAATTTGGTGTCATACTATTGCGTTTTGGCTGAAAACAACGCCTTTGTTTGTTGATAAACAGCTTGCCAATGGCATGCCGGTGGCATGTCGGCGGCATTTTTGCGGCAGTTCTCCGCCTCGGCCCCTGTAGAAACGATATCCCCTTTGCTTTCCGCCCTAAAAACGATATCCAGCTTGACCCGGTGCCAGCTGTGCTGAGCCCTGCTCGGAGGCATCGCAGCGAACTCAAAAACATCGTATCTTGTACTCATATTCTTTCTTCGGTGCATGAAATGTATAGTATGTGTTCAGGCTAACTTCCGCGTCTCCGGAACCATTGGTTCTGGAAAGTTGGCCTAAACACAGACTGTATATGAAACGCTTTTCCGCTTCTCATTTGTACTCATCAATTCCTTTCTATCTGATTATTTTTGACGGTTTGTGGTGAAGTCTGGTATGGAATATGTTGTGTTTATCTTAGGTTTCGAATGACAGAGGGATAACGTAGGATTTGTAGGATTCTCTAAACAGTGTTGCATAGATTGAGCATCTAAAATCCAAGAGGATTTGAAACTCTTTAGCGGAGATCTTCGGTAGGCTGCTGTGCTACTGGGGTCAAAACAATCTATATAATGACGGTTATTAACTTTTCAAACCTCGACCTAAACATAAGGTTCGGATATTCGAACATACTTTGGTGCAATGTTGGCTTTATATCCTTAGCTGTCAGTAAGTCCTTTTTCCATCTATGTTCGAAATTTTCAGGGTAAACGCTTAATGCGCCTTTATCATCTGTCCAATCACATCGTCATGTGATAAACATTTTAGATGTCTCAAGTTTTAAGATGCCTTGCTAGTGCTAAGTAAAATTCAACACTTGAGATTTATCATGCTGATTGCTTAGGACTGAACTAAATATGCCGAAAACGTCAAAGGCTAAAAACATCTACAAAATTCTGATTTTCGCTTTCGCTACGATTTGTGATGGAGTAACTTTTGGAGACTGACGCGTAATTTGGCAGCAGAGAACTTAGCGTACTTTTGTATAGGGCGGGGGGGGGGGGGTAGAATTGGATTGTTTATCAGGAACAAGTAAGTCTTCGACAAAATTTTTTACTTGCAAAAAATATGTGAAAGACTAGTTTTTGAAACAAGCTGAGTACCTTTTAGTTGCAATGAAGTTTTATTTATGTCTTTTGTTTGTGTACTTTGGTTGAATTGAGTGATTATGATAAACGGCAAAGCGCTTTTTGTACTGTTAAAATGACATAAGATATTATCGAATAATTCTTGTGAATAGAAAAATAATACAGAATTTTGAGCTAGTTTTATACTACAAGTAATCAAGAAATAGTAAAAATCGATGAGCTCTAACGTTTGTGAAGCAGTTTATCTTTCATCTCCAAGTATTCTATTCTAAAAAAAATTTGTAGCAGCAACAACTTCTGAACAATTTGTGGAATAATTAATGTGGTAAAGATTCTTTAAAGGCAAATCGTCAAACTCCCATTTTCGTCCCTGGTCCTCACAACGGAAGTTCGCTTAGTGGTGATACGGAAACTGATGTATAATGGATAGAGCTTAAAACGCTGATCTCAAATATATTACCTTCTGTACCTGAGGAGCGTTTTTCTCTGGAAAGTTATGGGTTTTTTTTTGTATTTATAATTGAAAAGTGGCCTGAAAGGAAAATGACGACCTGCGGATCACAATGTGGTTGGTTAACACTCGAAAAGGTATCATCAGTTTAGACCTACAATGCTTACTAGATGATTTGCTTGAGCCTGCATACTTTTGTGAGGAAATTACCGTGATTTCACGACTCAAAATGCAAGAAAATTTGGCATAAGAAAAGCTCATAACTCTTCAGAAGAATGCTTCGCGGATAAAGAAGATTTACATGACATCAGCGTTCAAAGCGCTGTCGATGAGTATACATCACCTTTCGAATCGTCACTTCGACCAGGCGGACTTCCCTTGCATCATCTATTCTACGAACGCCCGTAAAAGGACTAGACGCTCTCCACTGCCAACGATGAGAGCACCATCTTTCCAACTGGGGCGCGCTATCTGTAGTCCCTCCTGCGAGTTACTCATCGACGAACATCGAACATACGAGTACATGCATTTTTTTACACTTCTCTTAGAATATGGGTGTGGAGTATCGATACATTCAAATCCAAGTCGCAGCTTTTGAAGCTAGAGCTGAGAATATCGAAAAGCGACAGTAAATTGATGATGAAAGTGGTAAAGAAGTATGTAGACAACGGGTCTCCTTAAAGGCAGTGTCTCACCTAAGTTGCCGAGATTTTTGCACATTGCAAGCCTGTCGGACCCTGTCCTAGCACTGTATGGGCTTAAAATCGCACGAAGTCTCCAAAAACCCCGTTTTCTGGAGGCCCCGCAGAAGCAAGGTGGACGAGTTGTACCTTCCAACTTCAGCCTCAGCCACAGTGGCAGCAACAGAGGGGAGGTGGATGCCAAGTGGAGGGGCATGTTCAAACGCGTAAGGGGGGAGACCGAAGGAGTCGTCCGCGCGTACGAACTCGCTCTCCGCGTACCACTTTGAGCGAATTTTTCTTAGCGTGGAGGGGGTCAAATTGAGTGGGACTTGTTGCAATGGCCTATTTAGAGGTCCCTACAACAGAATATATGAAGATCCGCGCGACCTCAACTTTGGTGAGACACTGCCTTTAACATTTCTTGGTATGCGTAAACTTTCCTTTGAACTCTTCTAATAGCTTCCTCGCTCTTTTGAGAGCTTCTTTGAGGCATTTCTATGTTTTTTCGTACTAAGTGGTTGGAAAGTTTTAATAGACCGATAATTACTGAGTGTTAGTTTTAATGTAGGACTAAGGAGTCAAAACTATCAAGATAGAACAAATTCGAGCTTGTCCAAACAACGAGTGCGAAGCGTTCTCGACTCATAGTCTCAGACTCAATGATAAATTTGTCCGTGTTTTCGTAATTTCTGAAACTGCATCGATACATAGCCGCATGGGATCTAAGGTTGTTCCTCATAAATCGAACGTATCCGCATGCGTGTATGCTCTGAGATAAATCGAAACTGCCGCTGAAGATGGACTCCATGTTCTCGAGATGCTCTGTCGAGACGCAGACTAGTTAGATGGTCCGACAGTCCCCACAAACTGGGAGGGAGGTGCCCAGAATCTCCAGATGAGCTGGCACTCCCCTGGTGCTCGGTGGTCCGCTCCCCATTAATGTCCCCCATTTTTATATATATGTTATAATGATAAAATCATCTAGTGAAGAACTCTTCTGTTAAGATGTAATGCAATAGGGTAGAGGGATCAAGTCCCGAGAGTAATTAACTCGTTAGACTTGACAGCTCTGACGTCAATTTTAAGAAACCATAGGCCAAAGATGCTATCGTGTTCCAGGTGCTAGAAATTTTCTATTTAAAACAGCAGTCTTCTTGACTGCGTCCCGTAGAGCATCTAAGGAATCGTATTGAGAGTGAGAATTGAAGAAGAAAGCAAAGAAGCAAGGCGGTGTTAAAAGTATGTATCTCTCAGAGACAGTACCAAAACTCATGGTTCTAAAGTCGTATCCTCCCATATACGAATATATGAATTGAAGTGTTCAACGCAAGTTGGTAGTACAGTTAATGATCGTGAGGGCTCCCAAAGCTGGAGGTATTGTGCCTGAACCGAAGTATGATTGTCGAGAACAATTCAAAGCTCTCGAACAACTCAAAAAAAAAAAAACTCCAATATTTCCCAAAAGGCTAGTGCTTACATTCTGATTAACTAAACTGCAACCTCCTTGATGGCTGCTTTGGAAATAAACATAACGTCAATGAAAGTCTGCCTTCCTTTTAGGCGCAACCAAACACTCACTTGGTTCTCTGACCCTTCACTTCTCACTAAGGTGATACCATTCCTTGAACGCTTTCCGGACGCAGTCAGGAAGGCTGCTTTCTTAATCATAAAAATTTCCAGCACAAGCAGTACGATAGCAACCAAACACTTTATATATCAGTGCCAAGTTTTCAAGAATGAATTTGAAGACGTTGATCCAACTGGGGAAATGCTTTCTGATGGCATAAAAACCTAAAACAACGGATGCAATTCTTTTCTTGTGATCTTTCTATGGAAAGGATCGTTCTCCTTTGGCGTTACTTGTTTGGGATGAAAGTTCTATAGGGAATGCGCACCCTGTCGACTGTCGGAGTCCTTCGCGGCGAACTTCCATTTGTTTGGTCATTGGAGGCGCTATTCTCAACCACTTGTAAATACAGTAGATGCAAATGGCCCGTAATCAGGCACGAAAAGGCTTTTATCGTAGCAGAAGATAAGCAGTCCTGAGATATAATGTCCACGTTCTACGACAAATTTTCACAAAAATGTGAAGGAATACCTAGGCCTAAGGCATACCTCCCGCGATTTACCAAATCGCGACGTCCACGCGACTTGGCATTCTGCCAGATTTTCTTGAGGTATGCCTTAGGCCTTATACTCAAGCCATATATGTATATAGGAAGCTCACACGCTCGAAGTCTTGGGAGATAGCGCGCTCCATTTGAAAGGGTGCTGCTCCAATCGATTGGCGATGGAGCGCGCTTTCGACTCCTCCCAGTCGCGAGCCCTTTTACGGGCGTTCCTATTCTACTACCAGGAGAGAGTAAAGAAACCTGGACGAGATAGATAACAAGTATAAACCTACTAAGTACACGATTGGGCTTGTTCAGACAATGTGTGCAATGCAGTCTCGAATCTCCTAGTCGTAGAATCATATACTCCAATACTCTATATAAAGCGCAAGCACCCCCTTGTGACTCATCGTGGATGTTTGTCGCCAGCGGTGATCTTTGATACCTTACCACTGCAGTGTCCTCGTAAATGACTACGCAAGTACAGTTTACCATTAGGTCTACCACGACAAAAATTTGTGAAAATCATCTCCTTCGAGATGTTTGCGTTTTAGCCGGCTAAATGCAGTCACTTGCAGCGCTCTAGGTGTACTCAGACAATCGACGGGACCCCTCCGCCGGACAGTCCGAAACTGCCAGAGTCGCGCCGGACCCAGTTGACCAATGAGAGAGGGGCAAATGGGCGGTCCATCGCGGTGACATCACTGGCAGGCAAGTGGGAGGCTTCTCCGGCCCTGCTGCAAAGGTCCGCCATTTCTCCGGCGCGACTCTGCCAGATTTGGCGGACTCCGCGCCGGAGAAATTTGCCCGGCGCGAGTCCGCCAAATTTGGAAGAGCCGCGCCGGAGAAAATGGGAGGGGTCCGGAGCAGAAATGGGAGGCCTCCGGAGCAGAAAATGGGAGGTATCCGGAGCAGAAAATGGGAGGTCTCCGCCGGAGAAATGGGAGGGCTCCGCCGGACAAATGGGAGGTATCCGGAGCAGAAAATGGGAGGTATCCGGAGCAGGCTGCGTATCGATTTGGCGCGTAGCAAGCAAACGTCTAACTCCACGGTGATGAGTCCTCTGTTTACGCTCTTTGTCCATATTTTGGTCGCCGTTTCTTTGATTTTGTTGTTTTTGCGCGTTTCTTTACCGTTTTTTTTCTTTTCCGCGTTGTTCTTCGTCGCGTTGGCCTTTATGTTGTTGTAAGTTCCTCGTTTTCAGGTTTATGTTTCAAATTTTCGTGCGGTTGCACTCAATCACCTTCAGTGTCAGCTTAAGCTCAAAATCTGCCTCCAGGCGAGTTGTTTCTTGAATGTCGAACTTTTATGTTATGTTTTTTTTTGAATTCAATTATTCTCTGTTCTTCTTCAATGGCTCCATGCTGCTGTGTTACCGTGTGAAATTGAGTTCTGATCTTATGAAATCACAATTTTAGTTGCTGATGCTGGCGGTAATCATACACTTCCCGAATCTTCCATCGTTCTTAATGGCAATGCTAAGGACGATGGCAGCATTGTTAGCTACCAGTGGACACAAGTCTCGTAAGGCTTCTATTCAATCCAAAACCGAATTCTTCTTCTTTTTTGTTTTAGAGGTCCTGCAAATGCTTTGTTGGTGAATGCCGACAAAGCCAAAGCAACAGCATCGGGGCTGATAGAGGGTCATTACGTGTTTATGCCGTTGTGGAAGACGATGGAGGTCTGAAAGCCAACGCATCTGCATTTATCAGCGTGGAAAGGAGTAAGCTTTCACTTCTACAGCTTTGGTTATACAAATGAGGTCCGTTTTAGATAAAAATGAACCCCCAGTTGCGCGAGCCTTCAATGCCACTGATCCTCATTGTGGGAGTGGCGTTTGCTGCTGATTGGAAAGTGGCTAATGTCGAGAGGACTATCGATCTGTCATCTCAGGTGGGATCTTCACACTTTCCATTTTTGCAATGTTCTGCTATACAGAGCAGGCATATTCCACAAAGTTCTTATCTGTTCATTGTATTTCTCACATAAGCGTTTGGACACTGAGTGTAGTCAACACTTGTTCGCTCATCGTGTAGGTCATCTAGGGAACCCTTCTCTCGCATTGATCATCAACTGGATCGTAGGGGGCGTCGACAACCGGCTCTTCTGCATTTCACGGTAAGTCCCACTATTAACAGATTTTACTGTGTGACACTGCTTTTTTTCTCGAATGCAAAGACGGCCCTACTCTTATGCTGCTTCTGGGTATCTTCTTGATCGTTCGCATCATGATTGAGAAGGGGATCTAGAAGCCCTTTGTTGAACCCACAATTTGCGATCCAGCAAAAGTGGTTCTTGAACTGTTTCCCATTTGCGTTTTAGCATTGTGACTTAGAAATCCGGAAGTGAAAGAATTTTTACGTGCTTTTCGTTTTATATATCATCTTTTCTAGCTTTGTGATAAGTTTCATCACTTTTGCAAGTTATGATGGAAAGAGCATCCATACTCTTGCTTGTTGTTGCATCATCATAGAAACAGTTCTTAGAAATCTAAGAGCTGTTTCTATGATGATGCACAATCTAATAGGAGGCTAAGAGCAGCTAGGAGCGGCTAGCAAATGGCATTAGATTCATTATTAGCTTGTATAGAATCGCTACAAAGAAGCACTTTTTTCAATAGGCTCCACTTTACCCATTCAGACGATTTTACCAGCGTCGGCCAAAGATATATACTATAGAGATGAGATTGGAAACATATCAACATCAGCTGTGCGACTTCGCGCTGATTCTGTTGATGTCGAACTGAAACCGAGTTGCATGTCACGTACTTATTGCCTCTGTTAATATTTTATTCCTTTTTATCGTTCAGATTCCCGCTTTTTGGAGGATGGCGCACTTCCTACGTTATCGGTTATAATGTGCCTTCTTTCGAATATCTTTACAATAGGGGCAATAATTATGCGCTAAAAATGAGAGTTCTCGACCATATTTTTGACAATGCTGTGGTTGAAAAGCTTACGACGAAGATCATCCTGCCAGAAATGATAAGGTAAGCTCTTGATCACCACTGTCAGTCTTGAGAAAAAGGGTCATATAGTTTAAATTGTTGAGAAGGAACCAACATATAATTGGGGTGTTCGACAAACAAGCCACCCTTTGTTACACATTGCACCTAACCTTTTCCGATGTGTAACGCATCTCTGCTTTTTAAAATTCATGTTTGATTTTAGAAAAGCGAGGCTTATCACACCATACAGCATGGATAGAAGACCCGATGAAGTCCGCGCTACACACTTGGACACAACTGGCAGAACAGTTATAGTGTTGCAGAAAGAAAACCTTGTTCCAGAGCATATCCAGTCTTTCACTGTGAGTTGCTCTTCGATCTGAATAAATCGATGTTCTTTTTTGCTAGAATTTGGAAATTATGTCATACATTTTCAGCTGTTTTACGATTGAGTTCTCGCAAATGATCCGCGAACCATTGCTCGCCACGGCATTTTTCTTTGCACTCTTTACCGTTGTAATTATCTATGTGCGGTTCGATTTCACAATCGTTGCGGTAAGTTACGTTTTGGAAAGTTTGTCACATCTCTAGACCGTTTTTGCCCTGATTCATTGAACTAGTTTATTCGATACTCGATCTTTGCCTATAAATCGAAATATTTTAGGATCCGGCACGTGAAGCACGCGAACGTATCTTGGGAAAGGTGTCGGGTCTTTTCGAGACTTTTTACTTTAGCAAGTATATTTTCTTTACTTAGGGATCCTTAAGGGTAGGGTAGCTATTGTTCATCCTAAAGTGAGAAATTGAACAACCCAAATGTGGAATTTTGTTTTCCCCATACTATCGTATACCGTCGGAGAAGCTAAAGTTTGTTTCAAGTAACTGTTTGACAAGTTTCGATTAGTATCCGTTAACAGATTCCAATCATTTTCTTAAGTCTCAGAGTTTACGTTATTCTCTTGTTTTATAGGGAGCAGATGAGGAGCGCAATTTACGACGAGCATCTCTAGCACTGGCTCATCAAAATAACAAATTCAATCTTGGCGCTGTTCCCGATGACATCAGTGGAGAAAATTCGTTCTTCATATATGCAAGCAAATAAATAATATGGGCCAACTGCGACTGCAATTTAAACTGTTCCACAAACCGTTGTCTTGTTGGAAAGGTTCATTTTCTTACACCAGTGGGTGTGAAATGATTAACGATATAAGATGATTTTTCGAAAGTTTGAAAAATTTGAAATAAATGTCTTATCTCTTCTCTTTCTTCTATCTTCTATCCACAAACGCTAGGGGTGAGAGGGAGGGGGTAGAGTACGGGGTGAGGGTCGCGCTAAACTCCTACCCGGGGGGGGGATCCTACTCGGCTTATTTGGGTGGGGTTCAGAGACAAAATTGGGGTTTGGAGCTTAAATACAGCGTCCAGGCAAGTCTGGACCTATGGGGATTTTAATGGAAAGTACTTTTGGGGCCCTAACTAAGCCACTACCCAACTGGCAGCTCAAGTAGTGCTCTAACGCCTGAGATATTCTGCTCGAAACTGGACCCCGCGACCGTGTTTCGCATGGATTCATGGCGCAAAGCGTGGATCCTCGCGCGAAACTGCCATGAATCCATGCGAATACGTTCGCAGGGGGTCTGTTTCGAGGGGAATATCTCCGCCATTAGAGCACTACCTGAACTGCTGCTTCGGCAGTGCCTTAGTTAGGGCCCCAAAAGACTTTCCATGTAAAAGCCCCATAGGTCCAGATCTGCCTGGAAGCTGCCTTTAATTAGGGGTAATTACAGTATGCCGCGGCAGACTTGCGGAGCACAAAATCGGGGGGCTCCGGCGCACAAAATCGGGGGGCTCCGGAGCAGAAAATGGGAAGTATCCGGAGCAGAAAATGGGAGGTATCCGGAGCAGAAAATGGGAGGTATCCGGAGCAGAAAATGGGAGGTATCCGGAGCAGTAAATGGGAGGTATCCGGAGCAGAAATGGGAGGTCTCCGCCGGAGAAATGGGAGGGCTCCGCCGGACAAATGGGAGACCCACCGCTGGGGAAACGCCGCGACCCTGCCATTTCTCCGGCGGAGGGGTCCTATCCGCTGTCTGAGTAAGATTGATCATCTTTAAGGAATACTCGGAAAAGATCGGATGACATTAATGTATAGTTAAACTACGAACGCCACTTTTGAAATGTTTCTAAAATGACATGTCATCTTCTTTTCCTTTACTTCTGCGACGAACTCAGTATTTGTTATCGTGAACTTCCCTGCTTCTTCAGCAGTGATTATTTCAGTGTCTTTCCAAAGATTATTGAATTATGGATTTTAAGTGCCACGGATGCCTGTGTAAAAGGCAAGAAAGGTGCAATTCCGGCGCGATGTGTTTACAATACTATTTATGCCTCATTGTCCTTGCGCAACCCATGCAGCAAAGTACAACACTGACGTCGAAGGCATCTCTCTTTTGGTACTTTTCACAAAATCAAGCTAAGTTTCACAAATTTGTCACATGCAGCGCCTCTAATAACTATAGAGTCCAAAAAATCTTTGCTTAACCCGCCGCAGTTCGTGGATGATAAAATCGGTAATTGCTTGCATGAGAAGACAACCATCATTAACACGTTTCGGACCGCGAAATCGCGGGCGGCAAAAAAGAGTGTACTTTCAGCCGTTAGCCTACAAAGGGACCCTATTTCGCAGCCTGTGGGCCACATTTGTAATCAGTATTTCAGATAAGCTCCATACCCAAAGTTCTGAGTGAATTTGAAGTGTTTGAATTTTGTCGCTTGGACTTTTGTGTTTTCTTGGAAGATAGGAGTAAGAACTGAGTTCTTACTTAGTTCTTACTTAGTACTTACTTAGTACTTACTTAGTACTTACTTACTTACTTACTTCTTACTTACTTACTTAGTTCTTACTTACTTACTTCTTACTTAGTTCCAAATAGTATTCAAAAGTATTTATGTTGTACACGGTACACATCATTATTGAAGCTACGGTTTTTCTCTTTGGAATCGAAGCAAAAGATAGTTGCGACGTCGCACGCGTCGTTCGCGTTGCCGCACTTCGTTGCAACTGTTGTTGGATTTGTCCTCATATCTCCTAAACAAATATACGTGGCACAGCTCTAAAAAGTCATTTGAAAAGAAGGAGCTTAGGCCTTTGACTTGATAAGTTTGTACAATACGAAAACCTCCTATAGACCTTAAAAAGACCCTCCAAAGCAGCGTGCTGCACCATGTGCAGCACCGGTCTGAAACGTGTTAACATTTGTTTAGCATTCTTTAGCCCTAAACCTGAAAAGACTCCGACCTTCTGCAGCTCTTCAGATTTAAGCTTAAGAAACTTTGTTTTATCTGCATATAGTGGACATCTCAGAATTTTCTGAATTTTCCAGTACGGAAAGGAAGGTATCGGGTCGACGCTTAGGCTGCAATTGATTACATAGAGCTTCTTTAGCTGACTTAGTGCTAAAATATTCGGAAAAAGCCAAATCTCTGAACTTCACCTCAAAAAAGATTATGAAGTGATCTAGAACGTGAGTGCATACGACTAAAGTAATATTTTTGGGCATGTGCTACTCTGTTCTTGAATTCTCAACTGTAGATGGTTAGGATAAGTTATTGGTTGTTGCAAGTTAACATCACTGATAAGAACGGCCATGTGAATACGGGAATATAATTCTGGGAAATTTTATTGTAATTTTGAAAGTATTGAATTTTTGATTATTCGTTTATCGATACTCAGATAATCGCCGCGGGCAGGCGGTCCGCAAACTCCTGCTTTTCTGCAGGCGGTCAGCAGAATTTTGGGGCGTGGCCAAAACTTCAACGGGCGGCACTTCCTTTGCGCTCGCACATTCCGCCAGCGGGCAGCAATACAGCATTTTCTTCGAGCGCTCGGCAAAAATTTCTTTCAGCGAGCGCCGGCCACACTTTCAGCAAGCGCCCGGACTCTTTTTGCGCAGTTTCGGGCGTACGCCGAGGAAAGATGAGACTTTATGTGGCAGAGGTGTCACCGTTGGTTTAATTACTCAAGTTTGAGGTATTTTCTCTCAGCGGAAAGTACCTGGGGGCTGCGCGGTCCTCCACCAAGGACCATGCGGCCCTCAAAAATTTTGCATATTCTCGCGGAAAGTCCGCGAGAATGCGGCCACTGCGCCGCAGCTAATCTATAAAGAAACCGCGATTGTTCTCCAAGCGTTCGTCCAAAATTTCGCTAAAATTCTTCCAAATATCTGCAAGCGGACCGCAAGAAATCAGCGAACTATTTTTCCGGTGCCCGCTTGCGCATAAATCGCATGGCCGCCTGCCCCTGGCGATTATCTGAATAGGGACCGTCAATCAACATACAAAAATGTTGTTTCCCTGTCCGATCAAATTGACCTACGTGCCGCTTACAAACCAATATTATTCACCTTAAAGACAGTTCACGTCCTACGTGCCGCTTGAAGACCGTTTAAAAATTATAAGAACTACCCCAAACGTACAAAAATCTATTTCCCTGTCCGATCGAGTTGCCCTACATGCCGCTTACAGACCGATAGTAACTATTCAAAAAGGAAATTTATGCCCTATGTGCCGCTTGAAGACCGTATATAAAGAAAACCACAAATTCAAGTGTTTACAGCGTAATCCGAACATGTCACTTTAGGACCTTCAATTCTGAGAACTGCCCCAAACGCAAAAAAATCTGTTTCCCTGCCCGATCGAATTGCCCTATGTGCCGCTTACATACCGATACCTAGTTGAAAGCACCAGCGGGACCCAGTTTCACAAGCAAAGCAAGGTTGTCGTAAGATAAACGCTTTCAAAAGTCCCAGCGAGGCCAAGTTACTCACGCCTCTCTTGTTTACACGCGGAAGCAAAATAATCCTAAAGTGACTGTTCTTAGTTATAGCATTTTTACAAGGAGATGAGAACATAGATGAATTTAGCTCAAGTCACGCTGTTAATTGTCAATTTGGCATCATTTCAAAACCAACTAATAGGAGTACAACATATTTGAAAGACACATTCTGGGATAACAAGCTCGAAAAAAAAAGAGGTACAAATAACACACCCGGACACTGGCGACCCAGTCTCAAAATCATTGCGACCTCATGATTGCCTTTCGAAATACGTGTGACCCTTTTACGAAAATATGCTTGGTCACTCGTTATGAAATTTGGCAGCGTTCCAAAACGCATGCCACTTGGCAGCAAACCAAATTCAAAGATCAGCATATTTCATCATAATTTCGTCTGCTGCCTCCTCGTTTGCCATGTTCCACGGATTGGGGGCCACCAAGTGGTAAACAACGACTCCAAACTTGTTACGTAGTGATTGGAAGTATGGGCGGTCCAGGATGGAGAGAACGACAGATTTTTCTCTTGAAAGGGCTCTGTAACGTTTTTTGGAATGTTCTTCGAAATTCCCATGGAAATGTTTTCGAGTGTCTCACACAATTTTGTAATACATCTAGGCTCTTCCAATTTTTGAACTCATTTTCGAAGGGGTGCGCCCTCTCCCTCCTCACCACGGTTCGCCACTAAAGTCTGCAAGCGTGCTTTTTGTGATGCTCCGCTGTGCTTTGTGCTTGATTCTACCGTATATAAGCAAAGTGCAGCACAAATCATTCCATCGAGGCCTTCGTTAAGTCTCTCCTTCCCTGGTAATGGTTCGGATTCGAAATTGGAGCGACTCCGATTTCTCTCTATTTCAATAATTTTTCAGAACTTTCAAATTTGCAATACATTATCAAGGGGTTTGTCTGCTCGTTCACTCCGTCATGTTAACGATCACCCCTTAACTCTGTGCACTGACCAAAATATCTTGGTCCCAACCCTCAACCTGCAAATTGTCTGCATATGACGTCTCCAGCTTTTCCACGGAAAGCTAGTCAGGCAATCGACCGGACCCCTCCGCCGGACAGTCCGAATCTGCCAGAGTCGCGCCGGACCCAGTTGACCAATGAGAGCGGGGCAAATGGGCGGTCCGTCGCGGTGATATCACTGGCAGGCAAATGGGACGCTTCTCCGGCCCTGCTGCAAAGGTACGCCATTTCTCCGGCGCGGCTCTGCCAGATTTGGCAGAGCCGCGCCGCAGAAAATGGGAGGGGTCCGGAGCACAAATGGG